AAGCCAAATTTATCACCTTCAGTATGTTGGTCTTCTGTAGTGTCTGGATATCATTTGTTCCCACCTATCTAAGTACGAAGGGGAAATACATGGTGGCAGTGGAGATCTTCTCCATTTTGGCTTCAGCAGCTGGATTGCTGGGCTGCATCTTTTCTCCCAAATGCTATATCATTATTCTGAGACCTGATTTAAATAAGAAGGAGCAACTAATAAAGAAATGACAATAAATATTTAGCAGACACCTTGAATGAAACCAAATTTGTAACCTCCATCCTACTGGGTTTTTGTAGTGCTTTTGTTTCCTGTGTCCCATCATTTTGCAATACCAAGTTAATATACATGGTGGTAACTATGAAGATCTCTTTTGGGGCAGCTCCTGAACCTAGACAGCTGCTCTGCATCTTTTCTTTCAAACATTAGATAATTTGCTAAGCCCTAATAGGAATAATGTGAAACTGGTACTCAAGGTAATAAAATAAATTCTGTGTTAATTGTTATGATGTGTAATAATCTGAAAATGATGGTATTCGTATCTTCCAGTCATGAGCTTCATACCCCGCCCTTTAAAAAAAGTGTCCCTTTGTATCACCCAAAATACCAACATGATCCCCAGTGAGGCAAAAAATTTCTGCTTGTGTTTTGTTTTGTTTTGTTCTGAAAGGTCATTACAAAATTAAGGTGTAAAATAAGTAATCTATCTGCCATGTACGTATATTCATGCACAGAAAAAAGTGCATGAATATACACTTTTGTATATTCATATTAGGTGGTGCTAATTATTCCTTTGGATATCTGAAAATCTGTCTTTGTAAAACAATAGGCCAACACTGTATGGGTGTGGAAACCGTGACCAGGAAGGGTTACCTAAGTTTGAGATAAGGGAGCAGTATTAGCCTAGTTTCTTCTCTCTTTAGTATTCCCATTCTGGGAAATTTCTAAATTCATTGAGATTGCTCTTAGGGGAAACCTAGAGTTTCAGATATAGGAAAAGGATATAAGTGGTATTTTCCTGTGAAGGGAAAAAAGGGTTGGGGGGAATATTGAGAGGGATGTACAGTATGTAAAAGTAAAAAGTGATACCTGTTGGATTTCTAGCATAAATATATTGACCTAGTTTATAACCCTACTGGAAGTTCCTCACTTGTAATTAACAGCACACTTTGGCTTTGGCATTTGCTGCAAAGGAGATCAATGAACATTCCCAGCTCTTGCAAAATGTTACCCTTGGCTTCCATATCTCTAGTCACAATTTTGAGGAGAGGTCAGCTTACCTTTTAGCAATAGAATTTCTATCTACTAAAGACAGATTTGTCCCTAATTACAAGTGTGATATCCAAAACAATGCAGTAGCTCTCATTGGAGGACCCCGTACTAAGACCTGTCTCAACATGGCAACCATGCTGTAC